GAAGCAAGCAGAGAGTTGGGGACCTCATCCCATTAAGAAAGCAGTGCCGGGAGCAGAGGGCGTCCTTTGGACCGGGGTCCCTGCACAGACAAGCTCCTAGTCCGGGGGAACAACAAAGAGAAGAAGGCCGATGGAGACAAAAAGCCTTCCCTTGGAGCTGACGCCCTGAATTTGGACTTTTAGCCTACTTGACTGTGAGGAAATAAACTTCTCTTCCTTAAAACCATCCACTTGTGGTACTTCTGTTACAGCAGCACTAGATGACTAAGACAGAACTGCTCCACAGGGTTTTCAAGGCTGTGACCTTTTGGAAGCAGATCGCCAGGCCTATCTTCCAAGGTGCCTAAGGGTGGGTCTGAACTACCAACCTTTTGGCTAGTAGTGTGCTTAACTGTTTGCACCACCCAATAAATCCCTTTTCTTCTTAAGTAAGCCAGCGTTGGTGTTTGCTGCGTGTAATTAAGAACTCTGACGGATACATGAATCCCATATTGTTGGACATTTAAGCTGTCTCCAATTCTTCACTATTAGAAGCAAAGTGCAATAAACATCCTTACACATACATTTCTGATTATTCTCCTTTGGCTGAAATTCTTAAAGTGTAATTTGTAAAGGTCAAAGGTTTGTTCTATTTTTTTTCTATTGTAAATAATTCTGCCATCCTTATCTTTATGCACGAGGGTTTTTTCTCTCCATACTCAGTATTTCTATTTCTTTTTAAAAGATTTACAGGATTAGGATTATTCAAAACTGGTTACTTAATGAATGCCCCCAATGTATATCCCTCTTTAAAAACCCTTGAAAATGATTTACTTTTTCCCATCTCAGTCATTATTTCCCACAGCATATGACCAGGAAGTAGGAGAATAGTGGAGGTCAAATCAGCTGCTATAATCTAACTCTGTAATTTTGGACAGCAGGAAAAGACTACAGAGTGTTTTTAAAAAAAGGGTATTTCAGTTAAAGTATAGGAAAATACCCCAAAAGATCATTAAGAGTGGAGAACCTAAAAACAGTCCCAAATCTAGGACCGAAGTGCTGATGGGCAGCAGACTGTCTAAGTGACAAAGACCAGAGGATTCTGTGCATCCCAGAGTCACAGTATGCTCGACCTGACTTCTGGAACTGGTGAGTCACATGTGCTTCATCTCTTTTCCTACCAGTGCTAAGTGTTCTTACAAGTAAAAAGTGATCCATGGGGTTACTTGTTAGTATCTTTCAGTGAAAATCTTTAAAAATTAATAAAGAAAAATGTCTGGGAAGAATAAGTGAAGGGTAAAGAGTTGGATTACATAACTTTAAAAGTTCCCCTAGAGTTACAGCTGTGTTTTTTGAAAGCTTTGTTACACCCCTAAGCCAGGTTAAAACTGTAAGAGAACATATTTTTCTTAGAGCAGCGTTTGGTTTCACGCTTCCCCCTATATAAACAGTAGATTCTGAGTGTACTCACCTCCAAAGTCACAGCTCTCAGGAGCTCTGGGTTAGAGTTACACAACGCTCCCACAAGCACCCCTCCAGCACTGAAAGCAGTCAGGGCTGTTAGGCTTGGCTGAGAAAAGCCTTGGCCATGAAGCGTCTTAATGCAAGCCTCTATGTCTGCAAGGCCATTGAGCTTTTTGGTTAGACGGCCATCAGTGTGCCACTGGAGGCCTAACTCACCACCACCCCTGAAATTAAAGGGCAGAAAAGTTTTAGTGGGAAAAATACATATATTGATGTAGATCAGAGTCAAAAAATGACAGCCTGTGGGCCAAATCTATCCGGAGGCCTGTTTTTGTTTGGTCCCTGAGCTGAGAATGGTTTTTACATTTTTATACCCATTGCCATCGAGTCGATTCCAAGTCATAGTGACCCTAGAGGACAGAGGAGAACTGCCCCATAGGGTTTCCAAGGAGTGGCTGGTGGATTCAAACAGCCGACCTTCTGGTTAGCAGCTGAGGTTGGGAGAAAAACAAAAAACACAAAACACCCCACCACTAATATGTGACGGAGACCACGTGTGACCCGAAAGCCTACAATGTCTACTATGTAGCCCTTTACAGAAAAAGCGTGCCAATCCCTGATATACTTGGCTGATCAAAAGTTGATTTAACAAATGTTTTGAGTACCTGCCTATTATTGATCAGACATTGTGTTCAAGTGCTTAAAAATATAAATAAGCAAAATTCCCCTGCCCTGGAAAAGGTCATAATTCTGTAGGGAAAGAAAACCAAGAACGAGTTACCAAGCCATGTGGTCACTGCTTGTACCATTTCTAACACTCTAAACACAAGTCTATTTCAGGTCTTAGAGAAGCAGAGGAAAGAACATCCAGCTGTCAAGCTGGGGGCATGTACGCGAGTCAGGATCACAAATACCTAAGAGGGAGATGATACCTACGCTGGGTCTTGAAGGAAGAATACACGTTTCCAGAAGGGCAAGGAAAGGGAAGCCAACATGACAAAGATGACACAGCACATATGTGCAAGGGCAGAGGTGAAAGAGATGCCATTTGACAGGAGGTGGGCAAGGCTGGGTGTGTAGGATGTGTATGGGTGGAGGGTGGGATGTGTTTGGGGGACTGATGGTAGACGCTGCTACAGAGATAAGCCAGATCATAAGGAGGCTGAATGCTAGACTAAGAAATCTAGATTTTATTGTGAAGATGGGGAGGTGGTGAAGGATTTTAAGCTGGAACATAAAATAAAATCCGTGTCTTGGAAACAACTCAAATAGAAAGGAAGTTAGACTAGAAAAAAGAAGACCAGCTGAAAAAGGCTATTTTAGAAAAACCTAAACTCAGGAAGAGTTAAATGGAAATAATAATGTTATTAAGTAATTACAGAGACTGATGTTATCTCTGCAGAAATCCTAATAATCTAGCCTTTTGCTTTCTGGATCAACTAGTCACCACCAGCACAGGTTCAGATAACATAAATTCAACAATATAAATGCGAAAATAAGCATCTGCTCCTGACCCACTGTTGTCCTCAAGACCTGTCACAATGCTCCACCACTCACATGCCAGGTGCTGACTCACCGGACGTGGCAATATGCTAATATCCATCCATCGTCAACCAACACCCGCCTTTCAGGTCGGAAGTTCATTTTCAAATCCATTCCATAAGCTCCATATACATGTACCAGGAGAGGTTTCTTCTGCAGGTCCTCAGAATCTGTTTTGTGGAAAACGGTCATTGGCACTAATTTTCCATCCTGGAAATGAAGAATTGCTACATATGTAAAGAAGAGTCTTTAAAAACAGTTTTATCCCAAATTTAAATACAATGAAGTACACTTTTTCTTCCCCCTTTTCTCTCGTGGTTATTGATGTTGAACACAAACTTCATTTAAGACAAAAGAGTTATGGTCGCTACAAAAATATCATGGTCCTTGTTTTTAGCTATTTTGCTGACCTAGATTACCAAAACCATACCAAACCCACTGCCAATGAGTTGATTCCAGCTCATAGTGACCCTGCAGGACAGAGCAGAACTGCCCCACAGTGTTTCCAAGGCTGTAATCTTTACAGAAGCAGACTACCACATCTTTCTCCCATGGCGCGCTGACCTTTCAGTTAGCAGCCGAGTGCTTAACCACTGTGCCACCAGGGTTCCTTCTGACCTCGATTACTAACTAAAAAGAATGGCAAGACTCTGGCTTGAAAACATTTTATTAAATGCAGCTTTTCATGACAGTAAGGGATTTTAAACAGTTCTTCACTACCCACTAGTACTATAATTTTTTTCTTTTAGAACAACCCAAAATACCTATCGAGTTCAGAAATTCCAGCAGAGCCCATGCCTAGGGCTAAAATGTCATTTCTCATCTTTGAATATTTACAGAGAGGCTGACTAAAGCAGTCTTAGCTCAATTTTGGTCCTTTAGTCAGGATTTTCAACCCTTAGAACCTGAAACTTGCCCTTGTGACATCCACTCACATCTTCTTCAAGGCCTATTTAACATTAGATTTTCAAAGTCTAGAAGTGGTTAAATTATTTAATTACATTTATTTTTAGGGCATGTAACTATTCCCCAGTGTAGCTCCAATACATTAATCCCAAATGACTGAAACCAGGTACTATCTGGACATACAAAATCCAGATAACCTTGAACTACTCTTGATCTTCCTTTCATAGAAAAAGGATGGAGAAGCTGGTTCTCACCCTGCTTAAAGAAACGAACGAAACAGCACCAGTTTATATTACTTGGGGGGCACTAGTTTTATATAAGGAAAATAATATAACGAAGTCCTATGTTTTTCATTCTCATTTGGAAAACTTCACTTTTAGGCAATAAATGGAGGCACTGGAGTGTTATCAAATAAGAAAAGGCCCGTGGAAAGTCACAGCGACTTCCATCTAGCAGTTCCTGGGTGGTGCAGTCAATGCACCTGGCTGCCAACCAAAAGGTTGGAAGGTCAAGTCCACCCAGGAGCACTTCAAAAGAAAAGCCTGGAGATCTACTTCTGAAAAATCAACCACTGAAAACTCTACGGAGCACAGTTCTACTCTGACCACATGGGGTCGCCATGAGTCAGAGACGACTTGATGGCAACTGTTTTTTCTCCCCCCTCCTCCCCTAATGCTTCTCCCCTTGAATCTCCAATAACTTAGCTTCATTACTCTTTCCATTTGGGGTAGAATAATTACAACAATTTTGATAGACTGATACAATCCCACGTTTGTGAAACAAAACTTAAAAGTATATATGCTTGTTAACCAAAAAAAAAAAAAAAAATCTGGATTTTGATACACTAAATGGTTAACAATGATTATTTCTAGGGGTGCAGCAAATGGGACTGAAAAGTAGTCTCTTAAACTTTATACATTTATGTATTTTTGCGTTGGTTCTAGCAAGCATGTATTGCTTTTGTAATATTAAAATAATATTAATATTTGCTTAAAGATACTTAAAGAAAATCAATGAATTAAAAAAAAAAAAAAATTCCTAAGGCAAAAAAGGCCTGTGTGGAAATTCACTGTCAGCATACGTGAAGTTATGTGATACATAATATGCTAAGGTTGGAAAATTACATAAATTCAATGCCACAATTAGTTCTGTATATGGAGTACACCTGCTATTGAGTATACATCTGTTGTCAGATCTTTCTCTACTTCCCCCGACTTACCCCCCAAATCTTCCCTCTTTTACTCTACACTTTGGCCATATTAGACTTCTTTAGGCTTCTTGAATACATCATTTCCCCCTAATTCAGGGCCTCTGCACAAATGATATCCCCATGTCCCCTTTCTAACTTAACCCTTACTCATCCTAGAGGTATTCCCTGAGACATGACTTCCTCAGAGAAGCCTTTCCTGATCTCTCCAGACTAGGTAAGGTCCCTCTGCCATACGCTCCATCCACTGCACTTAGCACCTTTTCCTTTGTGGGATGAAGTACGTTAGTAATTATGCCTTCAACAGCTGTCACCTTCCTGCTAGATTTAAGCTCCATGAGGGCAGGGAATGTGTTAGTCTATTCACTCTAGTCGCTTGCTTGCCATCTTCACAATTTTTGTCCGAACTGCGTATCAACTTTGACCATTTACTTAATTTTTCCTTTAAATCAACTTTTTACTCAAACACAAGCAACATGTGAAGTTAAGAGCTTCGTGTGCTACTTATAAATCTTCTAATGCGTGTTAAAGTAAGTACATATTAAAGTTGAAAAAAAAAAAAACCACTTAAAAAAAATTAATGTACTCCCTAAAGTCGTTTTGGGGCCCTGGTGGCACAGTGGTTAAGTGATATGGCTGCTAACCAAAAGGTCGGCAGTTCAAATCCACCAGCCGCTCCTGGGAAACCCTATGGGGCAGTTCTACTCTGTCCTCTAGGGTCGCTATGGGTTGGAATCGACCGAACGGCAACAGGTTTTAAAGTCATTTGGGTCTTACTGTGGTATATGAAATGCACTGGACAATACCTGGCAAACAGTATGTTTTCAGCAAATTTGTACCGAAAGTGGAGATTACAGACTTACCTTACTTTTGGCTTCTAGACGTAAAACACGACTAGTCTTTGTGATTGGGTCTTCGTGGCCAGTTTCCTCAAAGAGTTTGCCTTCTGCAAACTTATACGTGTAATATTTTGGGGGACGTATTGGAGAGCAAAGCTGAAAGGGGCAGTTCTTTGGGTCGGAATTTGTATCTATTATGAATCCACAGGCCCAGGGAGGGAGCTAAAAAGAGAAAACAGTTATTTTTCCTCTTTATCTAGACTCTAACCATCATTCATTGAATTCCTGAGTCTGCTCCAAACAAGATGATGTGGATAGTAAGTTTACTTTTGTCCAAATAACATTATGTCTTAGGTAAGGATTACTTCATCACAATAAAATATATTTCAAGTAAAAAACAAACAAAAACTCCACATTAATGACCAATAAAATAAGGAAAAAGTACAGGAAAATGGTTTATCTTGACTGTAGATTTACATGAAATCTACTTTAATAAAAAAGTTTATTTTGAGGTATAAACTTAGGCAATGTAATAGCAAAATGGTTAAGAATAAGCACAAATCAAATGGTAATTATGGAATCCAGAGACATCTCAAAGATCTCCGTTCTCAGGGAACATGAAATCCCTTACAGGCGTTTTCAATAATTGACCCACCGGCCCTGCTCCTGCTGCCGGGACAGCCACAGTGATGACCGTTATTATCTCAGGGCTACGGAGCAGCTCAGCAGCGCTGAAGCATTCACAATCTGTTTCTAGCTTTAGCTCCCAGGCTAACCATTGTGCAGAACAAAACCTTCCCAGCACATCCACTCTGAGAGACTCACAGCTATTATGCTTAAGATTCTTAACTTTATGAAAAAGAAAAGAATCAAAATTTATTCTCTTAAAGCAGCAGGGTCCAGCTTCAAGCCTTCCAAGAACATCCCTCTTACACGTTTTAAAGAACTCTGGTAAGCAGGTTGACAGAGTGTTAGAAATGGTACTGAGAGTCAGAACATTAAAAGAAAATTGCCTTCCTTCCTTTTCCTGAGTAATTGTAGAAATAGCAAATCCTTTAGAAAATCAGAGGTCTTGGTACAGCAACGTCAGTGTGGGCGCTATTCACAAAGGGTAGGTGGGGATACGTGTGCAAGAGTGCATTATTTCACCTGTAGAAACTACAGCCGAAGACCTTACGTTCACACAAATTTCTTCTAATTAATCTAAAGAATCTATTTTCCTGAAACACTAATAAAGACTCACATTTTTGCAAAGTCTCTCTAAAAGAGTTCCTAATTTATCCTCCTCAGATCGGGGATTATTTTGAAGGATAACTTGTCTGTATAAACGTAAGCCATAACCAGAGAGAAAATAAGTGGGCAAGCTGAGACCCGGGTGGGAAAAAGGTGAGAAGCACGGCTATGAACTGCGAAACTCGGCCTCAGCGGGTACTAGGTTCCTCAGCCCGCACAGGCACACATTTTTCTGCCCTCTGGTGAGGCTTTAAGACAGTTTCTATGTGACCTATGTGGTAAGTTGTCTTAGCTTTAGACCAAGTAGTTCCAATAAATCAAGTCTTTTTGGTATATTTCTAAAACTCATGGGCTCAAGGTTAAAGTTTTAATCACAACAAAGACTGTTCCAAGGCTAAGGACTTTTTAAAGTTTGTCCAGCTGATGTAGAAATAAGCATTAACTATCTCAAGGATATCTGAAAATACATTTCCTACTGAGATAAGCCTGCAGTATCATCTGTGAATAATCACGGACAACATCTGTGAATCGTAAATCGGCCAGGTGACGTGCAGATACTCCTCAGAATATCAGACAGAAAAAGGATTGAACGTTAGCACTCTAGTACAAACTAGTCATGTCTTAATGATCAGGACATAACATGTTGAAAGAAAATTGACTCGGGCATACAGACTCCTCCTCCAAATGAAACTGATGTTGGCATGAATTGAAATATTTTCCAACTTGTTTAGACATTAAATATCGTAACTTCTTTTTGTGGGGGAAAAAAACCACTCCCAGGAAATACTGATGACATGATGACCACAAACAGGAGGCAAGTATATGAAGGGTTTTACCTTCCTATTGCTGAGATTGAGTTTAAAAAGTTCTGCTAGTCAAGTGCGCAGAAATACGCCGTAACCCACTCACAGCCTGGCAAAGGTTCTTTGTGTGTGGCATGTTAGTGCGATGCAGTTCACGAAGGACAGGGTTCGATCTATAAAAGTCTCTTTAAGTAGCACAAACACTAAACAGCACAAGGCATAATCAGCCCTATAGGTTGGGAAGGGGGCAGGGAATGAAGAGATTGAGGATACGGAATAAATTAAAGACCTGGTTGTTCTAATGGAAGTTAAAACCATGGAAAAGAGGCATATCTTTAAAGTAGAAATACTAACAAAAATACAAAAGGTCATATTTACTTAGAAGTCAAATATTATTATAGTAAACTCTACAGGACGTTCCTAATTTTCATGATATAGAATTTTGTTGTAATAAATACATTGCTAAAAACTACATACTCTCTCCCATCCCTATTGATATAGGCTGCAATAAGAACAGATGTCTGAATTTGGCATCAATCAGCAAGGGAAAAGAAACAGTTTGAATCCAGCAGATGAAGGCAATGAGAAAATCCCTAAAGTCAATCACTATTTTCATTTTAGGACATTTAGGACACCTATAGCATCTTCTAAGAGATGACACATTACATTTGATAACAGATTTTAGGGAAGAGCATGAACTTTTTAGTTGTTTTAGGCCCTTGTTATTTTTTACTTGCACTACTATAACCAATCTCAAAACGAATCTCTCTTCTTGCTTCAGTCTACCCTAACATAGCTGCCAACAGCATCACCAAGTATAGCTCAACTCCTCAAATCACTGCCCTGGCTCGAAAACTTCAAAAGGGCCCCTCTTTGTAACCTGTGCACAAATTCCTCACCCTGACAGTCAGAGAACTTCAAATCATAGCTTCATCCCCCAGAAATTCATGTTGCTTCAAATGCAGTTTTCCGAACATTTTCCGAACTTCTCCAGCTCAGAGCTTCGTTTCATGGACCTTTTCATCCTAGAATACCATTCCTCTCTCTCCCCACCTGTCAAAATCCTATCTATCCTCTTTGGTAGAAATTTCAAATTCTACTCACTCCGTGAAAACTTTCCCAAGTCCTCTTCCTCTCCTTTGAGCCCACAACACATTTTTTGTTTTTGATACCACCTACTTAAACCCACCTTATACTTAATCTTTGTGCACTAGTCTAATCTCTCATGCTCAACTGTATCCTCCTTAAGGCCACATATTTTGTCCTGCTGTCTCACCCCCGCCCCCATCATGTCCAACACAGCATATATAGAAGGAGTTCAATAAACATCCGCCGAATTCACTGGAAGGCATTTTAGCAGGAATGGTGACAATACTGGAGCCAGGGAGGTCTAGGTGGTCTCTGCTGCTTGCTGGTCAATTGGCTCAATAACTCTTTCCATAGCAAGCAGACTAGAAGCATTTCCTCTTCCCTTCAGTGCTGCTACTTTAACTCACATGTTAATGCTGCTTTAAAACTGTGCAGTCAGGCTGCTATTTGCTATTTCAGCAAGTTCAGTTGTGATGGCAGAATCTTTCTTGACCACAGTGAGTCAGCCTGCCAGGTAGGCATGGCACCATCACCCCACCCTCCATACTGCTGTGGAGACCACGGCATCCCCCATGTTGAAAGAAAGCAAAATTCATCTCCTTTCCCTATTCCCCTTGGATAAGAAAACTGGCAAAGACAAGATGATGCACACACAAGCATGCAGTGGCAGAAACACATTCGGCACAACTAGTGTCCCTACTGGGTTTGTGGGACGGGGGAGCAGCGGGAAGTGGTAGATACTAGCTGCCAGGCTGACTGAGTTATTGCTATACCTAAAGTTGTAGTGGTAGTCCATATATACTTACATATGTAGAAAGAAAAAAATAATGGCCCTTGACCCTACCTCTGAAGTCCATGTTATAAGACAACATTTTAAGTAAAACTGCATTAAAAGCAAGGTTCCCCAAGCAAATAAAAAATAAACCTCCTTAATCTGATACAGACTCAGATGCTCAATTCTATTTAAATTAAGTTCCTTTTAAGGAAAACTACATTACTATTACTCAAAATTTAATGTTGTGTTAAGACAAACTGCGTATGTATTTTAATAAACAGTAACTCCGTTTGAAAATTAAACATACCTTTAGAGACCGAACTGAATCATCGGCCAGACCAATCACATTAACGTAAAGTAGATTGCTGTGCTTTAGGAATAGAACACAGTGATCCTTAAACATGTCCAAGTCGACAACTTTGGTATTTCTCTTCATTGTGAAAAATAAATCCCAATTCATAATAGCAGGACTATCAGCTGCTGTTCTCATTAGCTGTTAGAAGAAAGTTAGAAGAGGTGACAAAACACGAGGGTTATAGTATTCAGAGATTAAACTACTCAAAACCAGACCACAAATGCCCCTCTTCACTGTTTTATGAAGAGCTGAAGAAACTAACTCTGCATCGGGGATAAGTGGGACCAGCTCCATGTGAATGAGCTCAAGCTAACCTGTTGGATGGTAAGAAAGTGTAGTCCCGTGCCTAGCTGACAGCCAACCAGTGAACATACGACTGCCGGCTGACTGCAAATGGGTTAGTGAGTCTAGCTGAGAACAGTAGAACTGCTCAGCTGAGATCAGTCCAAACTGCCAACTCACAAAATCATAAGCTTGTAAGTTTGTTGTTTTAAGCCACGAAGTTTGGCTTCAATAACAGATATAATCATGACAGAGTATGCTTCACTTACTAACCTGTTTTAGGCACAATTAAAATACGTAGAGGCATTACATCTAAGGGAAGAGAAATGGGATTGGTTATGCACTGGAAAGTAGCATCAATTTCTACACTTTACCAGAAGACTACAAAACGACTCTTAGAGCAAGAAATGCTGATGATGGAAGTGTGACATTCTCAATAGCCCCCACAGGAGGGAACAAGGAGAATCCAGGATTACCTTGAATTCTGTAGGCTCACCAACGTTAGTGAGAATGTATAGTTCATCATCTCTGTGTTCAACGTAGTAAAGGACCCCAGGAATTCGCTTCTGGATAAGTACTGGTGGGTCCCAAGGGCTCAGGCCATCTATCAACCACACTTCAGAAGTAGTCTTGTTCATAATATTTATGGTGAGGAAACGACTGTCTTTTGTGAGGTAAAGGAAAACAAAATAGCTATATAAAAAGAGAGAGAATGAAACATGAAAATCCAGTAAATTTTAAATGCATGCTACCTTGGTAATAACGGTATCTCAGAGGTGGTCAGTACACACGTTAATTTATAATGCAGACAGAAAACAAACACAATCTCTTAGTGAATACTGCTTGTAAATTAAGACGCTGGATATTATTTTTTCTCATTTTCCCCTCAAAAACAATTTTTTTACTCTAACATTTTATCATGAATATTTTCAAACATACAGAAAGTTGAAAAAATAGTAAGTGAACACCGATATACCCACCACGTAGATTCTACTGTTGGTAACATTTTGCTTTATTTCCTTTATCACATATCTATGTATCCATCAACCCATACTCCATTTTCAGATGGGGGTGTTTAACTCTTAAAGTCCTTTTCAGCTCTGAGATTTTATGAAATGAAATGTTAGTTTTTTTGTTTTGGGTATCAACTTCACTGTTACAGATACGGGGTTAAATCCCATTTTTCTTCTTGGAAAATTTATTCAGACATTGTCCAAACTATACTGTTAAATAGAAGCCCTGGGTGGCGCAGTGGTTAAGCGCTTGGCTGATAGCCTAAAGGTTGTTGGTTTTAACACACCAGCTGCTCCACGGGAGAAAGATGTGGCAGTCTGCTTCCGTAAAGATTTACAGCCTTGGAAATCCTATGGGGCAGCTCTACTCTGTCCTATGGGGTCACTATTAGTTAGAATCGACAATGGCAATGGGGTTTGGACACTGTTAAATGACTTTTGGGGTGATAGGACCCTAGTGTTAAAGCAAAATCTGTTTTCCATAAATCATTTGGAAAAGTGTATCTGGGTGTAAGGGTCAAGGGATTTTAACAGAAAAATTTACTGCCATTTCCTCCCAAGCATGGTCAAGTGGTACTGGAGATTACACGGAATTAGGGATAAGAACCAGCCTTAAGGAAGAATTACTAAAGCACTGGGGAAACCAAAACCAAACCAAACCCCATTGCGGTCGAGTCAATTCCGACTCACAGAGACCCTATGGGACAGAGCAGAACCGCCCCATAGGATTTCAAGGGAGAGCCTGGTGGATTCAAACTCCCGACCTTTTGGTTAACAGCCGTAGCTCTTAACCACTATGCCACCAGGGTTTCTGAAGTACTGGGGAAAGCAAATTTTAAAGACTACTGGACATGTTGGCTCAAAGCAATTTAAAAATCAGATAATCTATATGAAATAAATAGAAAATTCTGTGCTCTGACATGAATATTGTAGTTTACAACTTACAAGAGATTTATTATTGCTGTGTAGCAATTCTTAAATTTTTTTTTTTTAATTTTATTTTTAGTGAAAACATACCCAGCAAAACCCACCCACATTCCACAGTTTCTAGACATTATGATCAGTGACAATGTTTACATTCTTCATTGTGTCAAAATTCTTGTTATTTCTGTTCTAGTTGTTTTACCTCCATTTAAACTCCTTGCCCCGAACCTTCTCATCTATGCTTTAAAATAGCTGCGTCAGGACCCTCTCGTCTTATATAGACGCTTTTTTTGTTTTTAAAGTAACGTAATACTCAAGGGCCATAATCTTTACTCTTTGGGCTAAACTGTTACTTAGTTTAGAGGTGACTTCAGGAGATCGTTGCAATTCAAGGTTTGAAGCGTAACTCAAGGCCATAGTCTCAGGGACTCCTCTGTACTCAGTAGGTCTGGTAAGCCTGGATTCTTCAAGAATTTGAAGTTCTGTTCCACATTTTTCTTGCTTTTTAAATCAGGATTATGCTCCTGATCAGAACGTTCTGCAGTGGTAGCTGGGCACCCTCTAGTTCTTCTAGTCTCAAGGTGGAGGAGGCAAACTGTTAAATGTTTAATTAACAACTCAGCATTTGCAACCTAACAACTTATGTGAATATAACTAGATGCCAATTTTGAACACAAACAACAATAAAACAATGGTTATGGCCATTTTAACCTTATTATATCTGGTTCCTACCAAAATCAACATTTTAAGTCAACCAAGACCAGCACTTTAAATAACTGATACCTTGGGAGAAATTATTCCTAATATAAAAAGAGTAGCTACAACAGAAGGTGGGTTTTTTTTTTTTTTTTTTTTAAGGAATAAGTTGCACTGATCTTAAAGTATGACATGAAAATTGTCACATGCTCTTTCTATGGGAACTTTTGGCTTTAGATTTTGACACTGGCCCAATCTGACTGTATTTTTTTCACAAATAATGCATCCATGTCAATAATGTGCTCACACATATAACGCCCAGCATAGCTCACTTACGAGAATAGCAAAGGGGTGAAGGGGTTGCATGGTTGGCCAAAAAAAAAATAACATGTAACACACACGTTTGTGTAACAATACAGTAACTATGTCACAGAAAGAGAATCCAGCAAAGCAGAAGAGAGAGGGATGGAAAGTGATTCTATTTAAAGAGGAATCTTTCCTTCCTCAAATGACATCTAAGATACTGTCTATGGTAAACTGTTCTGCAAAGGCCTTTCAGAAACAAAGGGTGCATTCAAGTAGTGGAAAGAAAACAAGCATCAGATATCTTGGCCTCTATTCTTAGCTCTGCTACTAAATGGCTGTGTAACCTCAGGTAAGTCACTTAAATCCGGGCCTCAGCTTCTTCATTTATAAACTAGGTCAGCACTGTCCAAAAGAAGTATCATGTGAGTCACATGTATAATTTTAAATTTTCTAGTAGGCACATTAAAAAAAAGTAAAAAGAAATGTACTTTATTTAATCCAATATACCTATAATAATTTAAACACGTAGTCAACATAAAAATTATTAACAATGAGATATTTTATATTCCTTTTTTGGTACTAAGTCTTCAAAATTTGGTGTGTAGTTTACATTTATGGTCCAATCAGACTAACTACAATTCAAGTGCTCAACAGCCACCTGTGGCTTAGAGGACATTGTTTTGGGCCGTGGAGAATAAGATAATCTGTGATTTGTTCAAATTTGCCCTGAAATAAATTTTTCAGACCTAAAGTTTAGGACTAAGATTAATAGTCAGGATATGCTGGATGTTATGAAGGTTTTATTTTCAAAAGGTAGCTTTATACTTATAGAAAAAAATAATTTAAGATCAAATCAGAGCACAAAAAAGCATGTGTCAAGTCCAAGAGTTATTTAGATATATAAAGCATACTCTGGAGAAAAAGATTTAAGTACATTATTCCAGTACCTTGGGTCTTTTTCTGTGTAAAAACGTTCATTGCGTTTGTTATCACCAAAAGTGGCTCGATACACATCATGACAGCGAAGGTTCCTCTGGAAGGTGTAGAATAAAACATCTTCCTCTTCTTCATCCTTTACCCATTCTAAAAGGCAATGACTGAAGAATTATACACAGCCACCTTCTTACAGTTAAAAAAAAAAAAAAAAAAGACACAGCATACCCTATTATTGAGTGCCAAAGAGAAGTGCAAATTTATCTCTGGAGATTTAATACAAGATAGGTTCAACTGGATCTAATCTGTGTTAGGCATAAGCCAGAGAGTTTTTCAGAGAATAAAATACTACTTCATCAATTCCAAGTTTTCAAGTAGTTAACAGTCTCAGGGTAATCAAGTTTCCAAAATAGAGCTATATATTCAATATTTAGGAAAGACTTCGGTAAAGTCACATTTGCGTTCAGGATATGAACTATGTTTAAATCTACAACCTCTAACTTTAAGTCTGAAGGAAATAACGGATCGTTTTCTCTCATGTCTAAATCTTTTTTGTGTGTCTTCCAGCCACAGGACATCTGAAACTACCAAACACATTTCAATGCTGGTCTTTCTTGATCTCACCAGAAGTTTTCACAGTTACAACATGACTGCCACCTGGCTGACAGTGACTGTAAGACATCAATATATAATATTTATCCTGATTGCAGAGAGGTTGTATTAGAATCAGACAGGGTATACTGTCAACTTTTTGCAAAAGAATTTAGTTAAACAATGAGGAAAATGATTAAGATATAATTTATATGCAAAAACTTATTCTAAGTAATAAAATTAGCAAAGAATTACTGAGATAGCAAGAAGTATACAATTTGCACTCTGATCATGATCCTTTTAAAAACATGAACATTATTTTAAAATTAGCCCATTCAGATATATAATTAAAGAAGGGATGGTCTCCTGAATCAGAGGCAGAGGAAGATGTGGAGTCCAGAAGGATAAGTGGATCAGGCACGCTCCTTCTCATTCATTCATGCGGCAACTCAAAATGTTTCAAAAGTGGGGGCAATTCTCTTACTGTTGCCTTTTCAACAGAGAAGACTATTCTGGTTGGTGGCTTACCAAAACTGGACACGTTTGGGAAAGAAGCTTCCATCACAGGCTGATCGCTGAGCTTCACAACTATACAGGTAGATGCTTCAGAATCCTCAGTTCTTATCTTGGCGGCCACATATTTTTCATCTGGAGCAACTCTGATACAATCAATGAAGGGCTGGTCTAATTTAAGTTCCTCCAAATTGAATAAAACTTCGTAATTATCACTGTCTGCTGCATGAAGAAAAATATAAAAGACAGAACTTCACAAGATGTACTTTAAATATTTAGCAACTGTGTTTCATTGTTTTAAATGAGCCTTTCTCTTCAGCAGCTTGACCTGCACATAAACTAGCATTAGTTATTTCATACTGTCCTATACTGATATTTGATATGACTGTGCATCAACTCAGGCGGTATTATTTGGTACTATTGTAGTCTAGTATTTTTACACCATACATAACCTAGAAAGTGAATATAAGTAATTTTGAATGGTGTATGTAAAGTGCTTAGCATAGTACCAGAGACATAGGAGATGCTCAAAAATGCTGGTTCCCACCTCTATTCTCCCTTTCGAAGCTTTTAAGTGTAGCCGTTAACTATACCTAAAGCAAAAACTAGTCATTAAAAAAAGAAAATTTAGAAACAATCTTAAAAAAAAACTTTTCTATACCTTTGAGGAATTAATACCAAATTCTTATGAAAAATGCAAAATCTGAAAAATCAGAGCATGTTAAAAGGAAAAATTGTGGTGTACCTTCTTCATCTTTTGAACGAACCAAGCAGCAACCTTCTTGATAGTAAACAAAACCACCATGTTTGACCTGATAATGAAAAATAAATGACTTATTTAATAATTGATTTAACAGAATTTAATTTAAATATAACTTTTTAATGGTCTGACTATTCAATATGAAGGAGAAATGAAACCTCTTATAAAAAGCAAACCTGTTGAAGGATATGAATGCACACACACGAAATACAAAATGAACTACCTCTTACAACACTGTCGTGGTTAAGACATGGTTCTCGTATGTTCATGTCACTGGAGGAGTTTCTAATACATAAATGCAGGAGGCAATTAAGAAAAGGCATAGCAAATCCACGTCATGACTGTACAAACCATGTCAGCTATATATTGGGAACATCTGATATCTCTATAGTAGACCACAGCTCAGGAACTACTGATTTGATTCAAGTAACGGAGTTCAAGTGGCATCTTTAAAATGATCCAAAATGATACAGATGAGGAAACTCTGAGATTAGTCTGAAAAAAGTTAATAACATTCTGAGATTATTTTCTCTACAATATCCTGTCACCAACTGTGTGCTGTTTTGATCTGATTTTATACAAAGTGTCTTACCCTCTCTCTGCTGGGTGACAGATTAGGCGGTTTGAGATTAGAAGAATGAATATTACCCATCTAAGATTAGTGCTCTTGCCTAACATCTACATATTAAACCCAAATGACTGACTGGTATGATTTTACATGGCATAAGACTCATTTATTATCTGCTGGTTAGTGGCATGGGAACCCTGGTGGTGCAGTGGTTAAAGCACTTGGCTGCTAACCAAAAGGCTGGCAGTTTGAACCCACCAGCCGCTCCACAGGAGAAAGATATGGCAGTCTGCTTCTGTAAAGATTTACAGACTTAGAAACCCTATAAGGCAGTCCTATTCTGTTCTATAGGGTTGCTATGAGTCGGAACGGACTCAGCAGCGCAGTGGGTTTGGTTTTCGGTAGTCAGTGGCACAGTTTAAATCTGGAATTCTTGGTTCTTAACCCACTGCTATTTCCATTCTTCTATGTATGCAACTCTCATTTATAATCTGTGGTTCTATTTTCCAATCTTACTGAAAAATTTTCAACATGTATGTTTAATCTATGTTGCATTTGAGTATTTGACTGTGGCAACCATAAAATAGTTAAAACACTTGGCTTTCATAGTATTACACTACTTAAAATGAATTTCCTTTTATAAAAATGTATAGAGAAAGCAACTGAATTCTTTTCAGATAACAAAAAAATATGAATTAATTTCATTTGAACTTCTTAGAATTATTTAAATTTAAAAAAAAAAATCAGAATTGGTTGCTTCCCAAACCCAAAAGTAACATATTACACTTGGACATTCATCTTGGCTTTGATCTTTACAATTCATTTTACGGATTACACTTATTCTTTGCTCTAAGTTTTTCAGCATATTGTTAAGGCCAAAAGCAGTATAAATTTGCCGTGGGATTAGCTCTGTAAATCACAAGGTATCTCGTTTGTGTCTTGAATGGTAGTATTAGATTTTTTAAAAAGAGACATGAGATACGTACCTCAGCATTGATGATTTCATATTCTTCTTGTGGCTGTGTTTCTAATCTTGTTCTCACTTTTTCAAATGCATCCATGTTTTCTGAAGGGGATTTTTCGTTTTCTTGTTTAATAGGCAGAAGATCCTGGAAAAAGTTTTATTGGTATAATCAAAATATTTCAAACTAGGGGAAAAAAAAAAACCTTTGCTTCTTAAGGATGATTCTTATTTCCTTTTCATGTAAGTACTATAATGTTAGGTTTATACTTAAGTTTATTATAAAATAGTAAGTGCCTCACTGATCTTAAATGTTCTTTCCTTAGCTCATGAATAAAACAATCTTTTCAATTTAAAAATGTAAAAAAAGAAAATAGGGTGGGTAGTGTTATTTTAAATGGATTATGTTCTTAAGATGCCCAAGTACTAAGCAGGTCTGGGGAATGTTTAGAAATACTGTGGAAAAGGTTTAGACAAAACTAAGCAGAAAAAGAAATCCTATGAACTTTACATATTTAATAGTCAGGTGAGAGGCAGAGAAAAAGAAAAAAACAGTCTATTACATTTTTATGTTACTGAAATACCTTCTAAAAGGAGGGAAATGTCAAAGTGAGAGGAAAACATTATCTTTACTAATAAATATCCACTATTATTTTATTCACAGCAAGAATTATAAGCACTTTGTCCTACTTTATATCCTCATTAACCACAATCTTCTTTTCTTGGGATAAACCAAAACTAAAATAGAACAATTAGATCAAAGGTGAATGAGTGCCTTATAAAACAGAGCTTCCTGTTCAGCTTCTTTAAGGAAAAAATAATGTATTCACCTTATGAAAGTAAGGAAAAAAAATAAGGGAAAATTAATGAACATGATTGAAATATGGATGGAAGCTAAACAAGCTCTCACTGTGTCTTACTGGGAGTATCTAATAAGCTAAGAGCTTTAGCTGATCTTCAGTGAGCACAGAAATACCATATGAATCATTACAATGTAGGTAAGGCAAAACCTCAGCTGTTAAATTAAGAAAACGTGTTCAATAATTCAACATTTCACTGGTTTGTCTTGTTTAAGCCAAAGAATTCTAGCCAGGATTTTCAATGTCAGCTGTCTGCCAAAGATGACAACTGCACAGTGATCTGTACCAGAGGGGTCACTGAGCCCTTGGTAAGGACCTCCAACAGCTGGTGAATATTTACTGTATGGACAAGCATGCCCATGACACTCTACCAATCTGGTAGAGGTGAACTATAAATATAGTTTATAGCACAAAGAGTTTACAATCTAAAATTAAACACAAGAATAAAATAGAAAAACCACCAATACAAAGTAATTGGAAAAACAATCATTTTCACGAAGTTTTTTCTTTCAGACTGCGATACTTTACAATTTGGCTTAGATTCCAATTAGGTGCAATGGCTGTTATGGTAGTCTCAATTATTCAGCCTCTATTTCAATCATATAATTAATTAACATTAAATTACAAATCACAGGATCACTAGAAATCTATCATGAAACTATTACATAGTAGTGAAAAAAGACCAAACCAGTTGCAGTCAAGTTGATTCCAACTCATGGCAACCCCATCTGTGTCACAGTAGAACTATGCTCCATTGGGTTTTCAATGGCTAACTTTCTGGAAGGCCTTTCTTCCAAGGCGCTCTGGGCGGACCTGAACTACCAACTTTTCGATTACAGTGAATGGGATAACCGTTTGCACCACCCAGGGATTCCAACACAGCAATAGGAGCTGCCTTTTCATTTCCAGATTTAGGCTTATCTGTTTGGCAAGCTCCATAAAACTTTTGAAGTAGAGTCAGGATAGCTATGAAAGTACCTCTCTCTGCTATCCTGTAGCTCATAGCGCATTCTAGGTTTCAGAACAGGCTCTGCCACATTTATATTCCCATTCTTATAGCGAATCATGGCCAACACGGGGCTAAAGGCAGCACAGCTGGGCCCAATACTTGCCCTCCTAAATTTACTTTACATTCTTGACTAACTTTTTTCTGTCATAAATCCAAATTAATTGATCTTATTTGAACCAAGATAATCCTGAAAGCAATAGGATTTTTGACTACCTTAATGAAATGAAGTAGAATTTAACAGCTTTGTAAATAATCCCTCAGAAGGAATTACTCCCAGGGAAACTGAGATTATATAATATTCATAAAGTACTCCAAGTTGTTTTTTGTTTTGTCCCAACAACACCCAGAGTGTTTTAAGCTTTCCCTTCAATCCCTGCTAGTATTATCAGTAGGTTACAAAGCCAAACCTACCCATTTTAGCCAAGTATCTTAATACTTTAATAGTCTACTTTTTCAAAGCCATATGCTAGGTAATAGAGCTGAGGTGAGGGAGGTTTTAACTTTAAACTTTAAGAAGGTTTCATGCGCAGTACCACTCTATTAGTGGAAAAACTGAGCACATCTTAGCAACCTCCAGGTGACCCGTCAAAACTCATTTTAAGAATGAAAGCTGTTATAAAACAGGAGAACAGACTATGTAAACTTTATTAGGGCAAAAATGCTGAACCCTAAAAACCAAACACTGGTGAAGTAGAAAGGCACTGGGCAACACATATGGCAAGATGGTGCCATTCCATTAATAAACAGCAAATTCCAGGTCTGGATAGGGCGAGTACAAGGCAGGCTTGGGACATCTTGTGCCAGAAAACAAGGAAATGCTCAGAGATTAATGGAAATCTGTCAAAAGGACACGTCAGTTTGAAGGGGTTCCTACAGGCCACATTTGGGACAACTTGAGCATCAAAAATAATAATTACTATAACGATTATAATACACTTTTTAAAAAACCCACAAGTAACCTGGTGGTGCAGTGGTTAAAGTGGTTGACTGCGAACCAAAAGGTCAGCAGTTCAAAACCACCAGCAGCTCCAAGGGAAAAAGTGGCAGTCTGCTTCCGTGAGATTTACAGCCTTGGAAACCCCATACGGTCGCTATGTGCGGTAAGTGACTCGACAGCAGTGGGTACAATGATTAAAAAACAATAAAAAAACACAAACCAAACAGAAATAATGAGAAGGATCATTAAAAAAAAAAAAAAGGAAAGAGACAACTCTTCTTCATAGCATAATGCCAGCTAATAAATGTAGGAAGAATAAGAGAATTAGAAAATCACTGTTTAGTAACTCCTAATGAAACAACTGATTTGGGTGAAGATCAGCAGTGGTTGCTAAACTTATTAGATGAGAATGCTGGGTACACAACGCTTGCATGGTACTAAAACTCTATGGATTACTTACAAATTGCAAAGAGAGTAACACCCCATTAACAATGGAGAGAACTAGCAATTACCTTGACCAAATTATCAAATTTACCACCTATTATCTTGTTGACATTAAATCGATTAATTGTAGTATAAACAATAGCGGAGCCCTGGTGGTGCAGTGGTTAAGAGCTCGGGTGCTAACCAAAAGGTTTACAGTTCGAATCCACCAGCTGCTTCTTGGAAACTGTAGGGGGCAGTTCTACTCTGTCCTATAGGATCGCTGAGTTGGAATTGACTCCATGGCAACAGTTTTTTTTTTTTTATACGATAAAATACTATACAGCACTTACGATAAATGAATTAGAGATGTATGTATTAATGGGGAATCTGAAATTCATGTTGAGTGAAAAAGCAAGTTATATAACTACATACTTCATATTATTTATAAAATAAACTTCATTATATAAAGTTTCAAAACATGCAAAACAATACTATGTAATTATTTGTGAATACAAATACATGTACAATTTATATAAAAACATCCATAGAAAGATAGATTAAGGGTGATGATTACCTCCGGGTAGGTAAAGGAATGTGATCAGGGAGCGGTACATAGGAGTTTTCAAATTTTTTTAGTTAAGAAAAAAGTTACATTGAGTCATGGGTACATGGGCATTTGTTATGGTATTCTCTATGACTCTGTATATATCTGTAATAATTTATAATAAAAGGCATGAAAAAAGAAAGGTACTGTGAATCAGGTTACCTGAAGTCTAGTTCTGACTCTACTAACTTTGTTAGGAAACCTTAGGCTCTCTGGCTTTGGTTTTTTCAGCTGTAAAAAAAGAGGCCACATATTTTCCAATCTCAAAACTTACCACAAAGCTATTTATTACTTGACAAGTAACCAAGACAGTGTGGTACTGGTATAAAGACAGACACACAGATCAACATACTAGAATTCAGAGTCCAGAAATAAAGCTTCACATTTACGGTTAACTGGTTTTTGACAAGGCTGCCGGGACAGTGGGGAAAAAAAATTGTGTTTTCAACAAATGGTGTTGGGAATGCTGGATAGTCACATGCAGAAGAATGAAGTTGGACCCCCTACACTTCACAGCATATGCAAAGATTAACTCAAAATGGATCAGAGATTCTAAATAAAGTGCTCAGACTGGATAATTTCTGGGATTTTTTTTCCAGCAATTTATGGTTACATGGAAAGAATAAATTCACTCATTTAACCATCATCTCACATTTATTGCTTATCTACTATGTAGCAGTCACCAGGCTAGGTGCTGGGAATATAAACATGGATGCTACAGAATTCTTGTCTTTAAGGACTTCCCAGTCTAACAGGGGTGATAGAAAAAGTTTAAAATGATAGAATAAGTAATCTCATTTAGGTAAATATAGTTATGGCTTCAACTTATACATAGACCAATCTTGTCAAATTCCAGACTCATATATACAACTGCCGATTGTAATCTCCTTAGTAGGGATTTATATTTATTCCTTCCCCTTCCTCACCTTTAAGATCTGAATAGCAGTAAGGCTACATATAAGATTGTGAAATAACTCTATCTGAAACATAAAAATGATCCAGATTGTTTTGAAATTGTTTGATTTTGTAAAGTTAATATGGTGCCTATCCCAGTGAGGGAGATACCACCCTGTAATCATATATAATAAGATTTTAGAGCAAAGTGTCTAACAAGTTAGTAAAGATTATAATAGTCTTTTATGTAAGGTGTTGCAAAAAATAAATGAATTTAAAATATTTTTGTAAAAGCCTTTTCAATTTTAGAATTCAAATAGATAAGGGATTATGACCCTATATTCTCGTTTCTCCTACCTGGTTGTCTTAAATAAAATGTAATCTCCCTGTGATTCCCAAATTCAATTGGTTCTCTCTTCAGTCTTCCCTGAGATCTTCTCCTTCTCTCTATTGCCATGGCTAGGACCTTAGTTTAGGCTCTCATCATCATTCATCTGAGTTGTTGACCAGGCTTCCTATTTCCAATCTATTCTCTGCAATTCTACCAGAGTGATCTTCTAAAATAAAAACCTCATTACACCTACATTTTTCAATGTCTTTCCACTGCTTCTAGGATGCAGTTCAAACTTCTAGGAAGATTTACAAAACTACTCATATGTGACCTGGCCCCCACTTACTTCTTTTAGCTCATCTTGAACCATTTTGGTTACACTACTTGTAGTGATGTCCTCTCTTGCTTTTATTGTCTTACACACGCTGCTCCATTGCCCTGGTACGATGCCAGCCATACCCTGAGCTGTCTCTTTTTGGTCTAGCTTAACCCTGTCTTTTTTTTTTTTTTTGGACTTAGGTTTACAATTATATTGCAATCCACAGAATGGCACTCAATATAAAATACGAGGACACTCATTCATTCAACAATATTTATTAACATGTCATGTACTGTCTCAACCAGACAGATACAGACTCTGCTCTTAGGGAGTTTACATTTTAGTTGGGAAGACAAAGCAAAAAGAGGAAACGGGAAAATGAAGTAACTGTAGTAAAGTGGCAGAGAGGAAACAAGGGTAAGCAAATGAACAACAGTGAGGACCAGCTAGTTGGTTACCATGGCCGGACACAGGCCTTCTGAGGGAATAACATTTAATCAAGACCTGAAACAGAAGGAACTATACACACTAGGAGGAGCCCTCGTGGCGCAACGGTTAAGCACTCGGCAGCTAACTGGAAGGTTGGCAGTTTAAACCCACCTAGAGGCTTCAGAAAGACTTGGCAATCTGTCCTAGTAAAGATTACAGTCTAGAAATCCCTATGGGGCGGTTCTCTTCTGTCACTTAGGGTCGCTGTGAATCGGAATCGACTACACGGTACGTAACAACAACACATAGTAGGGGTGACTAGGGTTAGGGAATAGCATGTAAAGGCCCTGAGATTGACAGGAAAAGTTGTGTTCCTCCATCTGAGAGAGAACCACGCGGCTTGATCACAGTGAATGGAAAACAAGATGGGATGAAATGAGATTGGGCGGCTAGATCTTGCAGGGCTTTGGGGGACATGATTAAGAGCTGGATTTGATGTTTATGCAATAAGCTTTTGAAGGTTTTTAAGTTAGTGAGTGGTGCTATTTAATTCATACTTAATCACTCATCCTAGTGTATGGAAAATGGGTTGGAGGGGAACAACAGAGCAAGCAACTAGGCTGGTTGGGAGGTTTTACCAGCAGTCCAGGTGAGCAATGACAGAACCTCAGACTAGAGTGATGACGGCTAAGATGGAGAAATCTGGACAGATTAAATACGTATTTTGGAGGTTAATGCACTATTTCCCCAAGAGTATCATACATACCACCAGTGATACACATGATTTTGGGTAGATAAACATTTTATTAGAAAGAATAGATCTAGGGCATCAAGCCTGTAATTTACTGAACATTATTCCTTGGATGACACAAGTTGATTAGAATAAAATAATTAATAATAGCCTAGGTGGTATGGAAATATGGCAAAAATCACCAAGCTAGTTCAGGATATACTGTTAATGGATGTGATGGCAGGGTAAAGGAACAGGAAGAATAAAAAAAATGGTTTCCAGTGTTCTGGCTTGAAGAACTGAGTACACAGCAATGAGATAAAGAAGAGTTGAGTTGAGGGTTAGAGGAGTTGAAGTTTAACTGCAGACAGCTTGTTTGAGAAGTCAGTGAAATATCCAACTTGAGACTATTAAGTAGGCAGCAGAATATTAAGTCTGTAGCTCAGAGGAGAGTCCAGGCTGATGATACTAACTGGTAGCATACTTAAATCCACAGAAATGCATAAAATTACTTAGGGAGAAATGAAAGACAGAAAAAGGGCCAGGACCAAGCCCTGAGAACCCCAGCAGTTAGAGGTTATATAGAAAAAAAGCTAGCAAAGGAGACTGAGGAGAATTGGCCTGTAAGGTAGGAGGAAAACTAGGAAAGTGTCGACTCAAAAAGCCAAAAGAAAAGTGTTTCAAGGAGGGAATGGTCAAGTGTGTCCCATCGCCTGAGAGGGCCCTAAGAGGGAGAAAAAGAAATGTCCACTGGGCTGAAACATGTCATATGTTCGTTGACACTGACAGAGGTTTTAATGGAGGGGTGAAAGTTAGACTCAAAGAGGTTAAAGAGTAAATGGAAGGTGAAGAAATAACCACATGATGAAGTTGTGCCTGTTAAGCAGTCCCATACCATGATTACACACACACACACACACACGCACACACCCGCCTGCACACACAGAATTATCGTGAGACTACAATTTTTTCTTTTCTTTTTGCCCTTCCCGAGCTTTCCTTTTAATTTCCCTTTTTCTCCTTCTTTCCTGACAAAGCTTTGAACCTGTTAGTTATAACCGGTGATTTTTACTAATCACTGGTTAGGAGTGCCAGTGAGGGAGTATCTATCCGCCAACCTGTCTATCTTAGGAACTACTTCAAGAACTGCTAATCTGCACTGCAGAAACAGGCCACTGACACGTTTAATCTTTCTTTACTTTTTCTATTTTCTTTTTGTATCTTGTTCAAACTATCATGGTCAAAGAGTTTAGGAAATATCTTGTAGGCAGAGCAGACCAGGATAATGTGAAAGATCACCACACATCCTGATAAAGAAACATGGTATCTGGTTTAATGCTAGTGTTTGAGTATCACTGGCTGGCATGTGAGTGTAGCGGAATAAGTTCACCTTGCCATCTGGCTCATGTAAAATGGAAAGCTAAGGTGGACTTGCCAATAGGAACTTTAGAACTGAATGACTTCAGCTAGGTTAAGGTCAGGAACACTTGATCACCAAGTGTCTCCAGGTCCTAACTGCTGGTCTACTGTCAGTGGCAGGCTGGGCATGTCACAATTACCTGGGGAACCATAAGGATTCTGATCTGGCAGAACTGGGCTGGGATCCAGGAATCTGCATTTCTACAAAACTCCTTATTTTCTCAGTCAGGAAAATTAGAGTTCTAATTAGTTCATGGGCACATCAGTCAGCGCTAAATCTCTTGCCTGCCAACATTTCTACAGCACATACTACCTTCTCTTGTTCTTAGATTAACTTGTATAAATAAGTCTTTATTCTAAATATATATGTTTTAATTTGCCTGAAGGCCCTAATTACTTTTCCTACGTTCTTGTATCTCTAAGAGTAGACAAAGACGGAACTCACTAGATGTTTTCTGAAAGAAATGTGTATTCTTGTCTACAGGTCCCTCCACCAGTTGCAGTAATTCTGTATAAAGCTTCCCCAGGTCCCAGTGATCAAAACGGATAGAGACCACAGCTTTTAGGTCATCTCATTTCTCACAGAGGAAATGGTTGATATGTGATGTATGAAAGCAGACCACCTTACCAGGTAAAAGAACTATTTTTCTTAGAGTCACCAAGTCAGGTTAAAGTTTCCAAGTGGTGGGCATGTATGAAAGAGAATTGAAAAGTTGCTTCAGGGGCAAATGGAGGAAAAAAAAAAAAAAACAGTCCATCTCCTGTTTAGGACATGAGCTACTCTAACAGCTGTCACCCGATGAAATTCCTGCCTACTATTTATAAACTAGGACTTAAGATAAAAGCACAAGGTACAAAATAAAAACTTTATCTTTCTAAGGAGGATAAGGCTGTACAAATAAAAAGGTAAAAATGAAATAAATAAAAGGAAGGCACAAAGAAACTCTAAGTGAGGAAAGTAAGAATCATAGTGCTAATCTAAGCCATGACACTGTAAAAAGGAAAACAACTCAGAGACTAAAACGTAAAGGTCTAGGGTCTAACTGAGAAAAGATTAAATGTAAAGGTCTAGGGTCTAACAGATAAAAGATTAAAAGCAAAAGCGAAAAAAAAAAAAAACCAAACCAACAAACAAGTATAAGCCAAGAGATGAATAAAAATGAGAAAAATTGAGTAAAATAAGATTTTAAAGAGAAGACAAAACCGACTTAAAAACCAGGTTGCAACAAAACAATTAAAACCAGAAATTAAAATATTAAAATTACAAGATATGCTAAAATAGTGTAAAAATATCACCCCCAAATATAATTTAAGAACCTAAGGAACGTAACAAGTAAAATGTAGGGGACATATGACAAAGAGGCAGCAGCGTGTAGATAGCTTAATCTCAAGTAGGATGGTGACACAACTGATTCCCCAACCCAAGATATTTCTGAGAGGAAAGGGGACACTATTAATAATTACATAGGGACAACAGGTGTAGAATGGGACTGTCTCAGGCAAACTGGGATGTGTGGTCACGCTACATACAAGGACAATCAGGTCCTCAAGTTTGAGGTCATGCCCACAGCTTAGGGCCTGGTAAGAGTACTATAGTCTGAGAGTATCTTCCTGAAGGACTCAAGTGATCAAAAATGTACATCTTTTTTTCCCTTTTCTTTTTTTAACAGCAAAGTAACACACAATTACATGACCTTCACTTAAGTTTACTAATCTGGGATTCATAAAATAATTAGCATATTAGATTTTATTAAGAGCTAGAATATGGTATTCTAGGAATTTTAGAAAGCGGAATTATAATTTGAAATGCACCTGTGGGCATGCTAAGGCAAATCATTGTTTATAAATCTGCATTTTAATATATTACATTAGAGCTGTGTGTGTGTGTGTGTGTGTGTATTCTCTTATACTTACCTGACTACAGAATATTGAGCCTGGATGTTTTAAAAAGCAAATAAGAATTACTGAGAAAATTAGTAACCCTGATGTGCTATCCTTTATTTTTAATTAAATAATCTTAATGACCTACAAATAGGTTAACTTAAAACAGTCCATACCTTACAGGAGAAGCTCCGACTTGGAATGTTTCTTGCTAACTCTGATATCTTGTTTTTACTCTGCAGACACTTGGTTAGGTGGTATTTTCTCAATTTTATTCTACTGTAATAATGATCAGCGAAGTGACAGTGATTCAAATGCTGTTTCTGCATGCATTTCCCAAGGTGAGGAATACTATACTGCAGAGCCTGGAGAAATAATTTGGTCTTCTGCTGCATGATATCAAAGTCCCTGGTTTATGCTCCCTTTGGGGCAGTCAGCACATGAATGATTTCACAGGTTTCGAACATATACAGTAGTGGGTTCTCAGAGCATCTATGATTGGCAGTTCTTAACCCCCACCTTCAGGGCCATGCACCCCTTACGTTATGAGTAACTGCAGACAGCTGATAGCTTAGGTTAAATAAATCTGAAAATGTGTATAAGTTTCATTCAAATCACACTCTTGGCTGATGTGACTTAAATGTCTCATTTGTAAAATCAATCCTATCAGGCTCAAGCTACGCAGCAGTGATTCTGGTACACAAAGGGCCAAACTAAAACAAAACACAGAAAATAAAAAACAAAATAAAAATCTGCAAATAGGTACATAGACTTATTGGGGCATCGGAGGAACTCTGAGGGCTTTAAATGGCTTTGATCTTACATAATTCTGAGCATTTCTTTGGTATGTGTCTGGAGAGGATGAACTGGAAAAAGCTTAACTGCTTAATAAGGCTGGGGAGGAAGAAGGGGATGGTTAGTACTTGTTGGGGGTTGCTATGTGCCAGATGCTTTTATATACTTTAAACTTCCTGAGAAAGTAGCTATTATTATGCTCATTTTACAGGTGAGGAAACTGTGGCTCTGGGAGGTTTAAGCAACTAACTGCTCCAGGTCACTCAGACAGTAAGGAGTATAGCAAAAAGTCCAATCTGGTTTGTCTTCAAATCCTGGACATAACAAAATATTAGGTTTTAACGTTAAAAAGTTATATGGCTCCTTAATTTAAAAAAACCAAAAAAAAAAAAAAAAAAAAAGGCACTTCAGGATGCACAGATAAAACGTGAGACCATCTCAGGTTTCTGCTGGGCAGTTGGTTCTTACTAACCCTGAGAGCTAGTAAGCAAGCCTGGGTTCAGGTCTTGGTTCCTGCACTTACTACCTGTCCCTGGGCCTCAGTTTCTTCATCTGCAAAACTGAAATAATAACACCATTTACCTTATGGGATTGTTGCTATAAGAATGAAATGTGACAATTTACGTTAAGACTTTAACACAGTGCCTGGCATGTAGTAACCACTCAATAAAAGGTGGCTACTATTATTAGGACAGGAATAATCTGGGCACATGGCACGTTGCTGCATGTCATTATGGGAGTCTTCCACAAAATGCCCCTCGGTATCAAAGAATACTGCGTCAGAGTTACAACCGATCACATCCGCTACGACGACCCCCTCCTCCCCTTTATCTCCTGTGTCGCACCAAAATAACGGGCAGATGAAGATGGAGAGTAGCAAACGGGATTAGCAAAAAAAAAAAAAAAAAAAGAAAGAAAAAAGGCTTTGAATAACAAGGGCTTGCAAGGGCTCTAAATCACCATTATTTAATCCCCGCAGCTTCAGTCCATTCATCTTCCATTCGCAGGGAGAAGACAGTATGCAACCCTAGGGATGAGGACGGGGTGGGTAAATGGGTTCCCAGGAGAATTCATTATTCCTTTGCAACGATCTGAGTGCGAGAAGCAGTGATACCAAATGGCATGCAATGAAGGGACACATGCCAAAAAGCGAGAACCAAGGGACTGAGGGTAGCTGGGTGGGAGTAGGAAAAGAAGGAAGAGACCCCCAAGCACCACCCCATACGTACGCAAATTGAAAGAGTCCGGCTCTGGCCACAGAAACAAGTGAAGGCAGGCCGGAAAAACCGAAGTTCCCAGAAAACAGCGACAGTATCACCTCAACCGCGTCCAGCCGAAGACTGCGTTCTGCAACACGCAAAACGACTACCTACTCAGAGCCATCCAGAGCTGGTTTGCAGCACGCCGGTCTACGTAACCCCAATTTAGCACGAGTACGAAGCACATTTCGCCATCTTTATTATGGTCAGAAAAGGGTTTTTCTCCTCCTAGATTCTATAACCGTCAAGGACATGAGCCTTTTGGTTCCTTTATAGTTTTCTGAGTTAAAGATGAAGCAGACGAGACGAGAACAAAAAGAGGCAGCGTCGCACCAGCTTCCCCACAGCCCCTTCACCCTCCTATCCGCCCTCACTCAAGATGGCTACCAGCAAAATGGTGCAATGATGAGATCAGAGCGGCCCTGGTTGCCAAGGCGACGCGAATACCGGAAATGCGGAATTCGGGGAGGGCCAGTTTGCTCCGGCAGTGGGAGGGCGGCCGGGAGTTACAGGTCCTGACAGGGAAGAAGTGGGCAGGTCCTGGCAGGGTAGAGCTGTGGCGGCGGCAGCTCTGAGTATTGGCGGCTCCAGCGGGATGGAGTCGCGAGTCGCGGACGTCGTGGTGGGCGAAGCTGAGCAAGTTGCAGGCGGGGGCCTGGCAAGCGGCAGCGCCGCTCGGGGGCCTGCAGTTTCGGCGACATTGGCAGCCTCCCGCTGGAAGCTCCTTCGACAGGTAAGGGAGGACATGCTCACCTTACCTTTGCTTCTGGCCGGGGCTCTTTCCTTTCAGCATCTGCGGGAGTTTCCTCAGTTTTGCCTGGAGCTACCTGAGAAGCGCTGCCTTGCTTCACCTAAGCATCAGTTTCCTTGCCTCGTTTTTTTCTTTTCTTTTTTAATCCTTATAAGGATAAACCAACCAAAAGGGAAGGATCAGGTGGGACTGAGGGCAGCCATAGCTGAGTTCCTGGGAAACTCAGATTAAAGTAGAAGATTCCCTTCTAGATATTTGTCTGTCATCTGGAAGACTTTTCCAGTTGCTCGTCAGTGTGATTGGTGGGACCACCGCTCCCCACCCCACTGCCCTTCTTTCCTACTTCTGTTTTGCTGCCTCCCTTAAGTTTCTTCTTGCTTCCTAACTCCCAACCTGATTCTAGTTATAAATTCCAAGTCTGCACCCTCCGGCCCTAAGGCTTTTGAATATCCACGTGTTTGGACCTGTGACGCTGCCCGCGTTGCCTTGGATTCTTTCGTATAACAGAGCGTGAACGAGTAGGAAAATCTGCCTCTGTAAAAGTGAATTAAATGTTTAGCTTGTAGTTTGAAGTGATCTGTGAGATTCTCGGTGTCCTACCTAGGTGGACTAGTCAGCGTGTGCGATTGTCAGTTTTTTGAATGATGGTATCTTCCGGTACTACTTTAGAGTTGCTGCTGTTGCTGATAGCTTCACTCGTGTGCATGTTTTACGGAATTCTGATTTGTGGTCGCTGACTTGATCACTTGACGGATCACTGCTTGAGGTGAGGTCTGTTTATTGTTTTTACACACCAGTGTTATGTCTTTACCTTAGGCTACCTGCTGACAACTTACTTAAGGGGACACTTTCCATTTTTGACTGTTATGTTTCGAGAAGAGTTTCCCAAATATTGCAACATTACTTGAGGTTGTGCTGTTAGTATTTGGGTAGTTACTTTGTTTGCAGGTGTACAGAGTCAGTTTTTCATACAGTGGACTTGTAGTGCTGTCATGATATAACTCATTAAAGTTAAGATTTCTTTGCTAATGTATGGACAGTCTTTTCAGAGCATTAATGATCTGGTTTTGCTACTGTTACAACTAGTATTATAGTGTAATAAAATGCATGTTTTTGTAGGTCACTGTCACAGGGCCCATCTAGTGAAGTAACCACAGGTTAGTTAAATTATCAGAGTAGTAAATTAGGGCCTTAAATTAATCAAATCATTTTGTACAATATCTATGTTGGGATGCACAGTATCCTCTTCTGTTCTGTGACATAACTTCAGTGATTTTTAGTATAGTAAAAACTCTAGCTGACCAGCACCTCTGTTCATTCTGAATCTTCATCTAAATCAGAACAGGGACAAGTTTCAGCTCTGGCTGCTGTTTGAACTTCCCACAGTCTTTGACATTCTGATGCTTTGGGACACATGTGCCCTCTGCTTAGTCGTCTTCCTTTTTTAAAAATATTTTGTTTTATTGTTGTTGTTGAGAATATATGTAGTAGAACATACACCAATATAACAATTTCTACATGTACAGTTCAGTGACATTGATTACATTCTTCAAGTTGTGCAACTATTCTCACCCTCCTTTTCCGAGTTGTTCCTCCTCCATTAACATAAACTTACTGCCCCTCAGCTTGCTATCTAGTCTTTTGAGCAGCTGTTGTCGATTTGATCCCATATAACCAAAACCAAAACCGTTGCTGTCAAGTCAATTCTGGCTCATAGGGACCCTATAGGACAGAGTAGAACTGCCCCATAGGGTTTCCAAGGAGCAGCTTGTGAATTTGAACCGCTGACTTTTTGTTAGCAGCCTGAGCTCTTAACCGCTGCGCCACCAGGATTGCTGTTTTCAGTTTGATCCCATATGGATAGTTCTTAAAAGAGCACACAGCTCAGGCAAACATTCTTTACTAGTTATTTGCTTAGTCTTCTTGCCTTCTTCTGTACTTGGTGAACCACCGCTCACCTCTTCGTACCTCTGTCTCAGTCTTCTCTTATGTGACACCTCCTCTAATTCCTCTGGGCTAAGTTAGGCCCTCAGTCCTCTACCAGTGAACCCTTTATCATATTGATTCATGATCATTTGATCAGAGTCTCTTTCTCACTAGGATGGGAGTTCGTCCTGGAAAAAGACCATGTTTTATCAATCTCTACTCTTTGCACTTAGCACAGGGCCTGCCTAATTGATTTTTAGTAAACAATGTTAAGCGTTATGGAAAACCTGAGAGTAAGGTCAACCTTTATGTGGTCATTAGCACCTAGTCCTTTGGTGTATTGTATCAGTTAGCTGTTCTTGAGTAACAGGCAACCACAACGTTGCAGTGGCGTACAACAACAAGCGTTTATTTTGTTCACGCATCTGTGGGCCACCTGGGATTGACTGACATACGCTGTGATCAGCTAATGGCTCTGTGCTGCAGGTTTGGGCAGGTCTGCTCCAGGTGCCTCTCCTCATCGTTGGACCAGTTGGCTGACATGTTCTCATGGTGATGGTAGAGGTGCAAGACAGCAAGCCAAACCAGAAACACATTTTAAGCCTCTGTTTGCATCATGTCTGCTAACATCCTGTTGCCCAGAGTAAGACAGTCAAGTCCAAAGTCAAAGGATAGTAAAGTATACTCCCCTTGGAGGTAGAAAGGGAAGGGGTGATCATTTTTATAATAATCTAATATACCATGTATATTAAACATTTGCAGGCTCTTAGTAAATATGATTTGAATGAATGGATCATTCATATCTTATATGCCTCCAGAACTGGAAAACTATGAGGAATCTGAGCAGTCGTAGAGATAAATGATTCTCTCTTTCGACGGCTGACGTTCAAGCCAGCTGCTTCTGTCTGCTTGTTTTCTCCCTCTATCTCATGGCCCTTCTGTTTATGTGAACTGTTCAATATTGTCTATGTTTTGTAGTTCACATTTTTGGGAGAAAACCTGGTTGATCCAGCTCATCATTCGGTATCAGGTCTTATGATAAGTTGCTGACTTTTAAGTCTAGTGCCCTCTTTTATCAGAAGAGGTCTAGAAGGCTATGGATCGATATCAATAGGGGATATTAATGTTGCTCTGTTTTCCTCTTTGTTGAATCTCATTACCTGGGCAAAGAAGGCCATTGGCAACTACAGGCTTTTATTATCCACCCAGCTTGTGATCCAAAAGAAATGACTTTTCTCCCCTAACATCCAAATGATTTCCTCCAAAGGTCTCTGATAGGCCAAGCTTGGACCAGTTGCTGCATCCAGGAGGATGAGGTATTTTGGCTAATCTGGGTCATCAGCCCATCCTGTGGCACGAAATATAACCATCCCACCAGAGTCAGTATAGTGTGTGTGTGGGTGGAGGGGGAGGTGATTCTCGAAAGGAAGGGATGTATTGCTCTGAAAAAGTAGCAAATGACCATTATTCACTTGCACACACATTCACAAACACCACAGAATGAAAAATATTGCCTACAGGTCTGAATGCTTAGCTGAGGAATGTGATTAATGGAATATTTCACAGTGTATTTTAAATTCAGAGCAGGATGCTATATGTTCGAGAATTCCAATACTTTAAGAGACAGCATGATTTTTGGAGTAGAATTTAATAGACGTTAATTGTAGGCTCATATTTGTCCTTAACTATTTGTATGACAGTGACCAGCCTCTTTGGGCCTCAGTGTCCTCATTTGTAAATGAGGGAATGGGACTAAATTTCTTTATGACCTCTTCCAGCCCTAATTATTTTAGAGTGAAATTATTTACCAGAGCTAGAAATGATTTTATTTTCTAATCACATTATTTTGTGTTTTCCTAACAAAGATTTTATACATTTATCTTTAACATTTAAAAGCAGATTGCCTAATTGGCTAAATATGCAAAAAGTATATACAAGTAAGATCATCACAGCAGTCTTTGCAGAATAAAAAATAGAGGCAATCTAAACACAGGATATAAACAGTACATACGTTGTTGTAGTTACTGTGAGCCATTAAAATTTACTCATAGCTTTAGAAATTGATACTGATTACTGTTTGCCTATGTATGTATAGATGGATGTTTAACAGTGTGTTCTCCCTGAATGGTGAAATTGTGGATGAGTTTTTGCTTCTCTTTTATATTTAAAATTCTTTTACGGTAAACATGATTATTTTCAAACCATTTTTTATCTATTCTAAAATGCACACTCTATTTCAACATTTTAAAACTGGAATATGTCATACAGTTGATGGCATGCTGTGGCCCATTGTCTGTCTACTCTAGGAACCATCAGAAGGAAGAAAAAACATTGCGTTTTATAGTCAGTGGTGTCTTAGTACATTAAATGTGTAGATCTTTATGTAGCATAGTTTGTATTAGCTTTATTTTTGACTTTGTTTTATATCCCCACCCTTGGTTTTCCTTTTTCTTTCTCATCACTTCTCATGCTTGTTATCTTGTTGTATCGTGCATCTTTGTAAACCACCTTTAATCCTTTTGGTAACCAAGTGTGCCTTAAGTAAGTCTCATGTAAACTGTGAACTTGAACAACTTACATATTTGGACAACAAGCCTCAGTTTCCTCCTTGTTTATTAAATGGGAATAATAACACATACTTAGAGGGATTGCTTTAAGGATTTGAGATAATATATGTAAAATGCTTAGCTCAGAGTCTGCCATGTCAGAGTTACAATAAATAGCA